TGGTCCCAATGGCTCCCTATGGGTCCCAATGGGTCTCTATGGGTCCCTATGGGTCCCAATGGGTCCCAATGGGCTCTATGGATCCCTATGGGTCCCTATTGTTCCCTATGGGTCCCAATGGCTCCCTATGGGTCCCAATGGCTCCCTATGGGTCCCAATGGTTCCCAATGGGTCCCAATGGCTCCCTATGGGTCCCTCACCCCCCTTTCCCCCCTCCCCCAGACTCCCGGAGCCCCGACAGCTCCTCGTTGAGCTCCTCCCCTCCCCCCCCAGCGCCGGAGCCTTCGTCCTCGTCTCTTCCTCCCCCTCCCCCCCCATGGGCCCCTCCCCCTGGGCTCCCCCTTCCCCCTCCTCGGCAGCTCCATGGCGACGTCACCGGGGATCCCCTACGGAGCCCTCGGGAGCCCCCAGGTGAGGGGGGGGGGAGGGGAGGGGGGGGAGGGGGAGGGGAGAGGGGGGGAGGAGGATGTTGGATCCTCCCTTCCCCCCCCATCATTCCCATAACCCCACCCCCATCCCCCTCCATGACCCCACCCCCATCCCCATCTGCACCCCCATTCCCCCATTCCCATCCCCCCCCCCCACATCCGCCGCATTCCCACCCCCCTACCCCCACCCTCCCGTTCCCATCCCCCCATCCCCCCCCACCCCATCCCCCCCTTCACCCCCTCCATCCCCCCCCACCCCCATTTCCACACCCCACGTCCCACCCACCCATCCCCCCTTAACCCCCCCATCCCGCCCCCATTCCCACCCCCGTACCCCCACTCCACCCCCATCCCCCCCATTCCCATTCCCCCCATTTCCCCCCCACCCCCATTCCCCCACCCCCCTCCCCACACCCATCCCCCCCCATCCCCCCCCATTCCCACCCCACACCCCCCATCCCCCCATTCCCATTCCCCCACCCCACCCCCATTCCCATCCCCCCCCATTTCCCCCCCACCCCCCATTCCCCCATCCCCCTCCCCACACCCCCCATCCCCCCCACATCCCCCACTCCCACCCCCCATTCCCACCCCACCCCCCCATCCCCCCCATTCCCATCCCCCCACCCCCATTCCCCCACCCCCATTCCCATCCCCCCCTACCCCCTCCATTCCCATCCCCCCCATCCCCCCCCCACCCCCATTCCCCCCTGACCCCCACATTCCCACATCCGCAATCCCATCCCCCCCATTCCCCACCCCACCCCCCCAATCCCATTCCCCCACCCCACCCCCATCCCCCCCCCACCCCCATTCCCCCCACCCCCCACATTCCCACATCCCCACCCCCACCCCCATTCCCATCCCCCCCATTCCCCCCCCATCCCCCCCAATCCCATTCCCCCACCCCCACCCCCATCCCCCCCCCCCCATCCCCCCTCCCCCCCCATTCCCCCTCCAGGTCAATCCCTCGGGAATGCCGCCCCCCCCCCCCCACAGCAGCTCCCAGGATGTGAAACCCCCCGTGGGAATTCGGCCCGGCGCTGGGGGAGGGGCCGGCAAGCGCCTCTGCGCCATCTGTGGGGACCGCTCCTCAGGTACCTGTGGGGCGCTGTGGGGCACTGGGGACCATATGGGGCTATGGGGCTATGGGGACCATATGGGGCTATGGGATGCTATGGGGCACTGGGGACCATATGGGGCTATGGGGCTATGGGGACCATATGGGGCTATGGGGATGCTATGGGGCACTGGGGACCATATGGGGCTATGGGGCACTGGGGACCATATGGGGCTATGGGGATGCTATGGGGCAGTGGGGACCATATGGGGCAGTGGGGACCATGTGGGGCTGTGGGGGTGCTATGGGGCACTGGGGACCATATGGGGCTATGGGGCAGTGGGGACCATATGGGGCAGTGGGGACCATATGGGCCTATGGGGCAGTGGGGACCATATGGGGCTATGGGGATGCTATGGGGCTGTGGGGACCATGTGGGGCTATGGGGTGCTATGGGGCAGTGGGGACCATATGGGGCTATGGGGATGCTATGGGGCAGTGGGGACCATATGGGGCTGTGGGGGTGCTATGGGGCAGTGGGGACCATATGGGGCTATGGGCAGTGGGGACGCTATGGGGCAGTGGGGACCATATGGGGCTATGGGGACCATGTGGGGCTATGGGGTGCTATGGGGCAGTGGGGACCATATGGGGCTATGGGGCAGTGGGGACCATATGGGGTATGGGGCAGTGGGGACCATATGGGGCTATGGGGCAGTGGGGACCATATGGGGCTATGGGGCAGTGGGGACCATATGGGGCTATGGGGCTGTGGGGACCCTGTGGGGCTATGGGGTGCTATGGGGCAGTGGGGACCATATAGGGCTATGGGGTGCTATGGGGCAGTGGGGACCATATGGGGCTATGGGGACCATGTGGGGCTATGGGGTGCTATGGGGCAGTGGGGACCATATGGGGTATGGGGTGCTATGGGGCAGTGGGGACGCTATGGGGCAGTGGGGACGCTATGGGGCTATGGGGCAGTGGGGACCATATGGGGCTATGGGGCAGTGGGGGTGCTATGGGGCAGTGGGGACCCATTGATCGACCCCATTGAAAGAACCCATTGATAGAACCCATAGATCGACCCCATTGATAGAACCCATTGAAAGAACCCATTGATAGAACCCATTGATCAACCCCATTGAAAGAACCCATAGATTGACCCCATTGATTCAACCCATTGATCAACCCCATTGATAGAACCCATTGATCGACCCCATTGATAGAACCCATTGATCGACCCCATTGATTCAACCCATTGATCAACCCCATTGATAGAACCCATTGATCAACCCCATTGAAAGAACCCATAGATTGACCCCATTGATTCAACCCATTGATCGACCCCATTGATAGAACCCATTGATCGACCCCATTGATAGAACCCATAGATCGACCCCATTGATAGAACCCATTGATCAACCCCATTGAAAGAACCCATTGATCAACCCCATTGATAGAACCCATTGATCGACCCCATTGAAAGAACCCATTGATAGAACCCATTGATCAACCCCATTGATAGAACCCATAGATCGCCCCATTGATTCAGCCCATTGATCGACCCCATTGATAGAACCCATTGATCAACCCCATTGATAGAACCCATAGATCGACCCCATTAATTCAACCCATTGATCGACCCCATTGATAGAACCCATTGATCAACCTCATTGATAGAACCCATGCCTAAACCCCATTGATAGAACCCCATTGATCAACCCCATTGATAGAACCCATGGATGCCCCCATTGATAGAACCCATGGATGCCCCCATTGATAGAACCCATAGATCGACCCCATTGATTCAACCCATTGATCGACCCCCATTGATAGAACCCATTGATCAACCCCATTGATAGAACCCATTGATCAACCCCATTGATCGACCCCATTGAAAGAACCCATTGATAGAACCCATTGATCAACCCCATTGATAGAACCCCTAGATCGACCCCATTGATTCAACCCATGCCACAACCCCATCCCATCCATGCCGGACCTCATGAATCGCCCCATTGACCCAACCCATTGCCGGAACCCCATCGCGTCGCCTCCGGTTGACCCCCTATGGGCCTCCCCCCATTGCGTGTATGTCCCCATTTAGGGAAGCATTATGGGGTGTACAGCTGCGAGGGCTGCAAGGGCTTCTTCAAGCGCACGATCCGCAAGGACCTGAGCTACTCGTGCCGCGACAACCGCGCCTGCGTGGTGGACAAGCGCCAACGCAACCGATGCCAGTTCTGCCGCTACCAAAAGTGCCTGGCGAGCGGCATGAAGAGGGAGGGTGAGCTTTTGGGGGGGGGGGGTTGGGGGGATTGGGGGTGGGGGAGGAATGTTGGGGGGGGAGGTTAACTGGGAAGTCAACTGGGAGCTCAACTGGAAGAGGGAAACGCAACTGGAACTCAACGGGGAGAGAGGGACTCAACTGGGAACTCAATGGGGAGAGGGGAAGTCAACTGGGAACTCAATGGGAAGAGGGGAACTCAACTGGGAACTCAATGGGGAGATGGGAAGTCAACTGGGAGCTCAATGGGAAGAGGGGAACTCAACTGGGAACTCAATGGGGAGATGGGAAGTCAACTGGGAGCTCAATGGGAAGAGGGGAAGTCAACTGGGAACTCAATGGGGAGATGGGAAGTCAACTGGGAGCTCAATGGGAAGAGGGGAACTCAACTGGGAACTCAATAGGGAGATGGGAAGTCAACTGGGAGCTCAATGGAAGAGGGGAACTCAACTGGGAACTCAATGGGGAGATGGGAAGTCAACTGGGAGCTCAACTGGGAGAGGGGAACTCAACTGGGAGCTCAATGGGGGGAGGGGAACTCAACTGGGAGCTCAATTGGAAGAGGGAAACGCAACTGGAACTCAACGGGGAGAGAGGGACTCAACTGGGAACTCAATGGGGAGATGGGAAGTCAACTGGGAGCTCAATGGGGAGAGGGAAGTCAACTGGGAGCTCAATGGGAAGAGGGGAACTCAACTGGGAGCTCAACTGGGAGAGGGGAACTCAACTGGGAGCTCAATGGGGAGATGGGAACTCAACTGGGAACTCAATGGGGAGATGGGAAGTCAACTGGGAGCTCAATGGGGAGATGGGAACTCAACTGGGAACTCAATGGGGAGATGGGAACTCAACTGGGAGCTCAACTGGGAGAGGGGAACTCAACTGAGAACTCAACTGGAAGAGGGGAACTCAACTGGGAACTCAATGGGGAGATGGGAACTCAACTGGGAACTCAACTGGAAGAGGGGAACTCAACTGGGAGAGGGGGACTCAACTGGAAGCTCAACTGGAAGAGGGGAACCCAACTGGGAACTCAATGGGGAGATGGGAACTCAACTGGGAGCTCAATGGGGAGATGGGAACTCAACTGGGAACTCAATGGGGAAACAAGAACTCAACTGGGAGCTCAATGGGGAGATGGGAACTCAACTGGGAACTCAATGGGGAGATGGGAACTCAACTGGGAACTCAATGGGGAGATGGGAACTCAACTGGGAACTCAATGGGGAAACAAGAACTCAACTGGGAGCTCAATGGGGAGATGGGAACTCAACTGGGAACTCAACTGGAAGAGGGGAACTCAACTGGGAGAGGGGGACTCAACTGGAAGCTCAACTGGAAGAGGGGAACTCAACTGGGAACTCAATGGGGAGATGGGAACTCAACTGGGAGCTCAATTGGAAGAGGGGAAGTCAACTGGGAACTCAATGGGGAGATGGGAAGTCAACTGGGAGCTCAATGGGGAGATGGGAACTCAACTGGGAGCTCAACTGGAAGAGGGGAAACTCAACTGGGAACTCAATGGAGAGATTGGAACTCAATGGGGAGATGGGAAGTCAACTGGGAGCTCAACTGAAAGAGGGGAACTCAACCTGGAACTCAATGGGGAAACGGGGACTCAACTGGGAGAGGGGAACTCAACTGGGAACTCAATGGGGAGATGGGAACTCAACTGGAAGAGGGGAACTCAACTGGGAGCTCAACTGGAAGAGGGAACTCCACTGGGAACTCAATGGGGAGATGGGAACTCAACTGGGAACACAACTGGAAGAGGAGAACTCAACTGGGAACTCAATGGGGAGATGGGAACTCAATGGGGAGGTGGGAACTCAACTGGGAACTCAACTGGAAGAGGAGAACTCAACTGGGAGCTCAACTGGAAGAGGGGAACTCAACTGGGAACTCAATGGGGAGATGGGAACTCAACTGGGAACTCAATGGGGAGATGGGAACTCAATGGGGAACCCAACTGGGAGCTCAATGGGGAGATGGGAGCTCACCCCCCCCCCACCCCGCCCCATAGCCGTGCAGGAGGAGCGCCAGCGGGGCAAGGACAAGGAGAAGGACGGCGACCCCGACGCTGTGGGGCCGGGCCCCGGGCAGGAGATGCCGGTGGAGAAGCTGCTGGAGGCCGAGCTGGCCGTGGAGCACAAAGCGGAGCAGGGCAGCGACGGCGCCGGCACCGCGGTCAGTGGACACCCCCCTTCACCCCCCCTTCACCCCCCCTTCACCCCCCCTTTAACCCTCCTGAACCCCCCATCACCCCCCTTTATCCCCCCTTCACCCCCCTTCACCCCCCCCTTAACCCCCCCTTCACCCCCCCTTCACCCCCCCTTTAACCACCCCTTCACCCCCCCTTTAACCCTCCTGAACCCCCCATTCACCCCCCTTTATCCCCCCTTCACCCCCCTTCACCCCCCCTTAACCCCCCCTTCACCCCCCCCTTCACCCCCCCTTTAACCACCCCTTCACCCCGCCTTTAACCCTCCTGAACCCCCCATTCGCCCCCCTTTATCCCCCCTTCACCCCCCTTTTAACCCCCTGAACCCCCCCTTCACCCCATTTAACCCCCCCTTTAACCCCCCCTTCACCCCCCTTTAACCCTCCTGAAGCCCCCCTTTAAACCCCCCCTTCACCCCCCTTTAACCTCCCTGAACCCCCCTTTAAACCCCCCTTTAACCCCCCTTTAACCCCCCTTCACCCCCCCTTCACCCCCCTTAATCCCCCTTCACCCCCCTTTTAACCTCCCTGAACCCCCCTTTAAACCCCCCTTTAACCCCCCTTTAACCCCCTTCACCCCCCCTTCACCCCCCTTTAACCCCCCTTTAACCCCCCTTCACCCCCCCTTCACCCCCCTTAATCCCCCTTCACCCCCCTTTTAACCCCCCTTCACCCCCCTTAACCCCCCTGAACCCCCCCTCAACCCCCCCTTCACCCCCCCTTTAACCCCCATGAACCCCCCTTCACCCCCCTTCACCCCCCCTTAACCCCCCCTTCACCCCCCTTTAACCCCCCTTTAACCCTCCTGAACCCCCCCTTTAACCCCCCTGAACCCCCCCTTCACCCCCCTTAATCCCCCTTCACCCCCCTTTTAACCTCCCTGAACGGCCCTTCACCCCCTTTAACCCCCCTTTATCCCCCCTTCACCCCCCCTTTAACCCCACCTGAACCCCCCTTCACCCCATTTAACCCCCCTTTAACCCCCTTCACCCCCCTTCACCCCCCTTCACCCCCCTTCACCCCCCCTTTAACCACCCCTTCACCCCCCTTCACCCCCTTTTAACCTCCCTGAACCCCCTTTAACCCCCCCTTTAACCCCCTTTAACCCCCCCTTCACCCCCTTTTAACCCCCCCTTAACTCCCCCTTTGAACCCCCCCTTGAACCCCCCTTTAAACCCCCCTTCACCCCCTTTAACCCCCTTTAACCCCCCCAACCCCCCCTTTAAACCCCCTGAACCCTCTTCACCCCCCTTCACGTCCACATTCTCTTCGCCCCAACCCCATCCCCCATCCCCATCCCTTCCCCCATCCCCATTCCCATCCCCCCATCCCTCCCCCCATTCCCTTCTCCCCCATCCCCATTCCCATCCCCCCCATCCCTCCCCCCAACCCCATCCCCCCCTCCCCCTTTCCCCCCCATCCCCATCCCCCCATTACCAATCCCTTTCCCCCCAATCCCATTCCCAACCCCATTCCCATCCCCCCCTTTCCCTTCCCCCCCATTCCCATCCCCCCATCCCTTCTCCCCCCAATTCTCTTCCCCCCATCCCCCTATCTCCCATCCCTTCCCCCCATCCCCATCCCCATCCCCCTATCCCCATCCCTTCATCCCCATCCCCCCATCCCATCCCCCCATCCCCATCCCCATTCCCTTCCCCCATCCCCATCCCCATCCCCATCCCATCCCCCCATTCCCATCCCCCATCCCACCCCCCACCCCCCAACCTCCACCCCCCCCTCACTGCTCGCCCCCCCAGCCCCGTGACCCGGTGACCAACATCTGCCAGGCCGCGGACCAGCAGCTCTTCACCCTGGTCGAGTGGGCCAAGAGGGTGCCCCGCTTCTGCCAGCTGCCCCTCGACGACCAGGTCATCCTCCTGCGGGCAGGTACCGCCTATGGGGTGGCTATGGGGCGTCTATGGGGCGCTATGGGGTGTCTATGGGGGTCTATGGGGTGTCTATGGGGGTCTATGGGGTTCCTATGGGGGTCTATGGGGTTTCTATGGGGCCCCGCTTCTGCCAGCTGCCCCTCGACGACCAGGTCATCCTCCTGCGGGCAGGTACCGCATATGGGGCAGCTATGGGGCGTCTATGGGGCGCTATGGGGTGTCTATGGGGGTCTATGGGGTGTCTATGGGGGTCTATGGGGTCCTATTCGGTACCTATGGGTCTCTATGGGGTGTCTATGGGGGACCTATGGGGGTCTATGGGGTCCTATTCGGTACCTATGGGTCTCTATGGGGTGTCTATGGGGGACCTATGGGGTCCCTATGGGGGTCTATGGGGGACCTATGGGGTCCCTATGGGGGTCTATGGGGTCCCTATGGGTCTCTATGGGGGTCTATGGAGTCCCTATGGGGGTCTATGGGGTTTCTATGGGTCTCTATGGGGTCCCTATGGGGGTCTATGGGGTTTCTATGGGGGCCCGCTTCTGCCAGCTGCCCCTCGACGACCAGGTCATCCTCCTGCGGGCAGGTACCGCCTATGGGGTGGCTATGGGGTGTCTATGGGGCGCTATGGGGGTCTATGGGGTCCCTATGGGGGTCTATGGGGTCCGATTGGGGACCTATGGGTCTCTATGGGGTCCCTATGGATCTCTATGTGGTCCCTATGGGGTCCTATTGTGGACCTATGGGTCTCTATGGGTTCCTATGGGCCTCTATGGGGTCCCTATGGGGGTCTATGGGGTCCTATTGGGGACCTATGGGTCTCTATGGGGTCCCTATGGGTCTCTATGGGGGTCTATGGAGTCCCTATGGGGGTCTATGGGGTTTCTATGGGTCTCTATGGGGTCCCTATGGGGGTCTATGGGGTTTCTATGGGGGTCTATGGGGTGTCTATGGGGGTCTATGGGGTTTCTATGGGGGCCCCGCTTCTGCCAGCTGCCCCTCGACGACCAGGTCATCCTCCTGCGAGCAGGTACCGCATATGGGGCACCTATGGGGCGTCTATGGGGCGCTATGGGGTGTCTATGGGGGTCTATGGGTGTCTATGGGATGCTATGGGGTCCCTTTGGGCCTCTATGGGGTCCCTATGGGTCTCTATGTGGTCCCTATGGGGGTCTATGGGGTCCCTATGGGTCTCTATGGGGTTTCTATGGGGGTCTATGGGGTCCCTATGGGGCGCTATGGGGTCCCTATGGGTGTCTATGGGGGTCTATGGGGTCTATGGGGTCCTATTGGGGACCTATGGGTCTCTATGGGGTCTCTATGGGGTCCCTATGGGTCTCTATGGGGTCCCTATGGGTCTCTATGGAGTCCCTATGGGGGTCTATGGGGTCCCTATGGGGGTCTATGGGGTCCCTATGGGGGTCTATGGGGTTTCTATGGGGGCCCCGCTTCTGCCAGCTGCCCCTCGACGACCAGGTCATCCTCCTGCGGGCAGGTACCGCATATGGGGTGGCTATGGGGCGTCTATGGGGCGCTATGGGGTGTCTATGGGGGTCTATGGGTGTCTATGGGATGCTATGGGGTCCCTTTGGGCCTCTATGGGGTCCCTATGGGTCTCTATGTGGTCCCTATGGGGGTCTATGGGGTCCCTATGGGTCTCTATGGGGTTTCTATGGGGGTCTATGGGGTCCCTATGGGGCGCTATGGGGTCCTATGGGGGTCTATGGGGTCCCTATGGGGGTCTATGGGGTCCTATTGGGGACCTATGGGTCTCTATGGGGTGTCTATGGAGTCCCTATGGGTCTCTATGGGGTCCCTATGGGGGTCTATGGGGTCTCTATGGGGGTCTATGGGGTCCCTATGGGGGTCTATGGGGTTTCTATGGGGGCCCCGCTTCTGCCAGCTGCCCCTCGACGACCAGGTCATCCTCCTGCGGGCAGGTACCGCATATGGGGCACCTATGGGGCGTCCTATGGGGTGTCTATGGGGGTCTATGGGGGTCTATGGGGTCCTATTGGGGACCTATGGGTCTCTATGGGGTGTCTATGGAGTCCCTATGGGTCTCTATGGGGTCCCTATGGGGGTCTATGGGGTTTCTATGGGGGTCTATGGGGTCCCTATGGGGGTCTATGGGGTCCTATTGGGGACCTATGGGTCTCTATGGGGTCCCTATGGGTCTCTATGGGGTGTCTATGGGGTCCCTATGGGTCTCTATGGGGTTCCTATGGGGGTCTATGGGTTCCTATGGGGGCCCCGCTTCTGCCAGCTGCCCCTCGACGACCAGGTCATCCTCCTGCGGGCAGGTACCGCATATGGGGCACCTATGGGGCGTCTATGGGGCGCTATGGGGTCCCTATGGGTCTCTATGTGGTCCCTATGGGGGTCTATGTGGTCCCTATGGGGGTCTATGGGGTCCCTATGGGTCTCTATGGGGTCCCTATGGGGGTCTATGGGGGTCACTATGGGGGTCTATGGGGTCCTATTGGGGACCTATGGGTCTCTATGGGGTCCCTATGGGTCTCTATGTGGTCCCTATGGGGGTCTATGTGGTCCCTATGGGGGTCTATGGGGTCCCTATGGGGGTCTATGGGGTCCCTATGGGGGTCTATGGGGTTTCTATGGGGGCCCCGCTTCTGCCAGCTGCCCCTCGACGACCAGGTCATCCTCCCGCGGGCAGGTACCGCCTATGGGGTGGCTATGGGGTGTCTATGGGGCGCTATGGGGTGTCTATGGGGGTCTATGGGGTGTCTATGGGGTCTATGGGGTCCTATTGGGGACCTATGGGTCTCTATGGGGTCCCTATGGGTCTCTATGGGGGTCTATGGAGTCCCTATGGGTCTCTATGGGGGTCTATGGGGTCCTATTCGGTACCTATGGGTCTCTATGGGGTGTCTATGGGGGACCTATGGGGTCCTATGGGGGTCTATGGGGTCCCTATGGGTCTCTATGGGGTCCCTATGGGGGTCTATGGGGTTTCTATGGGGGTCTATGGGGTTCCTATGGGGGTCTATGGGGTCCCTATGGGGGTCTATGGGGTTTCTATGAGGGCCCCGCTTCTGCCAGCTGCCCCTCGACGACCAGGTCATCCTCCTGCGGGCAGGTACCGCCTATGGGGCGGCTATGGGGCGTCTATGGGGCGCTATGGGGGTGTCTATGGGGGTCTATGGGGTGTCTATGGGGGTCTATGAGGGTCTATGGGGTGTCTATGGGGGTCTATGGGGTGTCTTTGGGGGTCTATGAGGGTCTATGGGGTGTCTATGGGGGTCTATGGGGTCCTATTGGGGACCTATGGGTCTCTATGGGGTCTCTATGGGGTCCCTATGGGGGTCTATGGGGTTTCTATGAGGGCCCCGCTTCTGCCAGCTGCCCCTCGACGACCAGGTCATCCTCCTGCGGGCAGGTACCGCCTATGGGGCGGCTATGGGGCGTCTATGGGGCGCTATGGGGTGTCTATGGGGGTCTATGAGGGTCTATGGGTCTCTATGGGGTCCTATTCGGTACCTATGGGTCTCTATGGGGTGTCTATGGGGGACCTATGGGGTCCTATGGGGGTCTATGGGGTCCCTATGGGTCTCTTTGGGTTCCTATGGGGGTCTATGGGGTCCCTATGGGGTCCTATTGTGGACCTATGGGTCTCTATGGGGTCCCTATGGGGGTCTATGGGGTTCCTATGGGTCTCTATGGGGTCCCTATGGGGGTCTATGGGGTTTCTATGGGGGCCCCGCTTCTGCCAGCTGCCCCTCGACAACCAGGTCATCCTCCTGCGGGCAGGTACCGCATATGGGCACCTATGGGGCGCTATGGGTGTCTGTGGGGTGTCTATGGGGGTCTATGGGGTCCCTATGGGGGTCTATGGGTCCTATTGGGGACCTATGGGTCTCTATGGGGTCCCTATGGGTCTCTATGGGGGTCTATGGAGTCCCTATGGGTCTCTATGGAGTCCCTATGGGGGTCTATGGGGTTTTCTATGGGTCTCTATGGGGTCCCTATGGGGGTCTATGGGGTTCCTATGGGGGTCTATGGGGTTTCTATGGGTGCCCCGCTTCTGCCAGCTGCCCCTTGACGACCAGGTCATCCTCCTGCGGGCAGGTACCGCCTATGGGGTGGCTATGGGGCGTCTATGGGGTGCTATGGGGTGTCTATGGGGGTCTATGAGGGTCTATGGGTCTCTATGGGGTCCTATTCGGTCCTTATGGGTCTCTATGGGGTGTCTATGGGGGACCTATGATGGGGGTCTATGGGGTCCCTATGGGGGTCTATGGGGTCCCTATGGGTGTCTATGGGGTGTCTATGGGGGACCTATAGGGGTCTATGAGGGTCTACAGGGGTCTATGGGATGCTATGGGGCCCCTATGGGTCTCTATGGGGTCCCTATGGGGGTCTATGGGGTCCCTATGGGGGTCTATGGGGTGTCTATGTGAGTCTATGGGGTCCCTATGGGGGTGTATGGAGTCCCTATGGGGGTCTATGGGGTCCCTATGGGTCTCTATGGGGTCCCTATGGGGGTCTATGGGGTGCTATAGGGTACCTATGGGGGTCTATGGGGGACCTATGGGGGTCTAGGGGGTGCTATAGAGGAACTATGGAGGTCTATGGGGTGCTATGGGGTGTCTATGGGGTGCTATGGGGTGTCTATGGGGGTCTATAGGGTGCTATGGGAGTCTATGGGCGTCTAGGGGGTGTCTATGGGGTGCTGTGGGGTCCCTATGGGTCTCTATGGGGTCCCTATGGGGGTCTGTGGGGTCCTATGGGGGACCTATGGGTCTCTATGGGGTGTCTAGGGGGGTCTAGAGTGTCCATATGGGGGTCTTTGGGGTGCTATAGGGTACCTATGGGGGTCTATGGGGTCCTACAGGGGACCTATGGGGGTCAATGGGGTCCCTATGGGGTCCTGTGGGGGACCTATAGGTCTCTGTGGGGTCCCTGTGGGGGTCTATGGGGTCCTATGGGGTCCTATTGGGGACCTATGGGGTCCCTATGGGTCCCTATGGGGTGTCTATGGATCTCTATGGGGTCCCTATGGGGTCCTATGGGGGACCTATGGGTCTCTGTGGGGTCTCTATGGGGTCCCTATGGGGCTCTATGGGGTTTCTGTGGGGGCCCCACTTCTGCCGGCTTCCACACTTACGATTCTGCCCCACACACACGGGGCCACCCCACACTTATGGGTCCACCCCACACTTATGGGTCCGCCCCACACTTATGGGGCCGCCCCACACTTATGAGTCCACCCCACACTTATGGGTCCACCCCACACTTACGAGTCCACCCCACACTTATGGTTCCGCCCCACACTTATGAGTCCACCCCACACTTATGGGTCTGCCCCACACTTATGGGTCCGCCCCACACTTATGGGGCGCCCCACACTTATGGGTCCTTCCCACACTTATGAGTCCACCCCACACTTATGGGTCCGCCCCACACTTATGGGTCCGCCCCACACTTATGGGGCCGCCCCACACTTATGAGTCCACCCCACACTTACGGGTCTGCCCCACACTTATGGGTCCTTCCCACACATATGACTCCACCCCACACTTATGAGTCCACCCCACACTTACGGGTCCGCCCCACACTTATGGGTCCACCCCACACTTATGGGTCTGCCCCACACATATGAGTCCACCCCACACTTATGGGTCTGCCCCACACATATGAGTCCACCCCACACTTATGAGTCCGCCCCACACTTATGGGTCCACCCCACACTTATGGGTCCGCCCCACACTTATGGGTCCGCCCCACACTTATGGGTCCACCGCACACTTATGGGTTCCCCCCCACACTTATGAGTCCACCCCACACTTATGGGTCCACCCCACACTTATGGGTCCACCCCACACTTATGAGTCCACCCCACACTTATAAGTCCACCCCACACTTATTGGTCCACCCCACACTTATGGGTCCGCCCCACACTTATGGGTCCACCCCACACTTATTGGTCCACCCCCCACATATGGGTCCGCCCCACACTTATGGGTCCGCCCCACACTTATGGGTCCGCCCCACACTTACGAGTCCACCCCACACTTACGAGTCCACCCCACACTTATGAGTCCACCCCACACTTATGGGTCCTTCCCACACTTACGAGTCCACCCCACACTTATGGGTCCGCTCCACACTTATGGGGCCGCCCCACACTTATGGGGCCGCCCCACACTTATGGGTCCGCCCCACACTTATGAGTCCGCCCCACACTTATGGGTCCTTCCCACACTTACGAGTCCACCCCACACTTATGGGTCCGCCCCACACTTATGGGTCCACCCCACATATATGAGTCCACCCCACACTTATGGGTCCGCCCCACACTTATGGGTCCACCCCACACTTATGGGTCCGCCCCATACTTATGAGTCCACCCCACACTTATGGGTCCACCCCACACTTATGAGTCCACCCCACACATATGGGTCCACCCCACACAAATGGGTCCAAACACACATATGGGTCTGCCCCACACTTACGAGTCCGTCCCACACATATGGGGCTGCCCCACACTTATGGGGCTGCCCCACACTTATGAGTCCACCCCACACTTATGGGTCCACCCCACACTTATGGGTCCGCCCCACACTTATGGGTCCGCCCCACACTTATGGGGCCGCCCCACACTTATGGGGCCGCCCCATTGCCTGCAGGCTGGAACGAGCTGCTCATCGCCTCCTTCTCGCACCGCTCCATCTCCGTGCAGGACGGGATCCTCCTGGCCACGGGGCTCCACGTCCACCGCAACAGCGCCCACAGCGCCGGCGTGGGGGCCATCTTCGACAGGTTGGGGGGCAGCGGTGGGGCAGCGGTGGGGCTGCAATGGGGCAGCAATGGGGCAGCAATGGGGCTGCAATGGGGCAGCAATGGGGCAGCAATGGGGCTGGAATGGGGCAGCAATGGGGCAGCAATGGGGCAGCGGTGGGGCAGGAATGGGGCAGCAATGGGGTTGGAATGGGGTTTCAATGGGGTTTCAATGGGGTTTCAATGGGGTTTCAATGGGGTCGCAATGGGGCTGGAATGGGGCAGGAATGGGGTTGGAATGGGGTTTCAATGGGGTTTCAATGGGGCAGCAATGGGGCTGGAATGGGGCAGGAATGGGGTTTCAATGGGGTTTCAATGGGGTTTCAATGGGGTTTCAATGGGGCTGGAATGGGGCTGGAATGGGGTTTCAATGGGGTTTCAATGGGGTTTCAATGGGGCAGGAATGGGGCAGCAATGGGGTTGGAATGGGGTTTCAATGGGGTTTCAATGGGGTTTCAATGGGGTTTCAATGGGGTTTCAATGGGGTCGCAATGGGGCTGGAATGGGGCAGGAATGGGGTTGGAATGGGGTTTCAATGGGGTTTCAATGGGGCAGCAATGGGGCTGGAATGGGGCAGGAATGGGGTTTCAATGGGGTTTCAATGGGGTTTCAATGGGGTTTCAATGGGGCAGGAATGGGGTTTCAATGGGGTTTCAATGGGGTCTCAATGGGGTTTCAATGGGGTTTCAATGGGGTTTCAATGGGGTTTCAATGGGGCAGGAATGGGGTTTCAATGGGGTTTCAATGGGGTCGCAATGGGGCAGGAATGGGGTTTCAATGGGGCTGGAATGGGGTTTCAATGGGGTTTCAATGGGGTTTCAATGGGGTTTCAATGGGGTTTCAATGGGGTTTCAATGGGGCTGGAATGGGGTCTCAATGGGGTTTCAATGGGGTTTCAATGGGGTTTCAATGGGGTTTCAATGGGGTTTCAATGGGGTTTCAATGGGGCTGGAATGGGGTCTCAATGGGGTTTCAATGGGGTTTCAATGGGGCTGGAATGGGGTCTCAATGGGGTTTCAATGGGGTTTCAATGGGGCAGGAATGGGGTTTCAATGGGGTTTCAATGGGGTTTCAATGGGGTTTCAATGGGGTTTCAATGGGGCTGGAATGGGGTTTCAATGGGGTTTCAATGGGGTTTCAATGGGGTTTCAATGGGGCTGGAATGGGGTTTCAATGGGGTCACAATGGGGCAGCAATGGGGCAGCGGTGGGGCAGCAATGGGGCTGCAATGGGGCTGCAATGGGGCTGGAATGGGGCAGCAATGGGGCAGCAATGGGGCAGAGGTGGGGCAGGAATGGGGCAGCAATGGGGTTTCAATGGGGTTTCAATGGGGTTTCAATGGGGCAGGAATGGGGTTTCAATGGGGTTTCAATGGGGTTTCAATGGGGCAGCAATGGGGCAGCAATGGGGCAGCAATGGGGCTGGAATGGGGCTGGAATGGGGTTGGAATGGGGTTGGAATGGGGCAGGAATGGGGTTGCAATGGGGTGGAATGGGGCTGGCACTGCCATGGAATCACCCCATTGACCCCCCCTGCCTCACTGAATCCCCCCCTGCCCCATTGACCCCCCTGCCCCACTGAACCCCCCATTGAACACCCCCACCCCATTGAACCCATTGACCCCCACTGAACCCCCCCTGCCCCACTGACCCCCCCTGCCCCACTGAACCCCCCCTGCCCCATAGGGTGCTGACGGAGCTGGTGTCCAAGATGCGGGACATGCGCATGGATAAGACAGAGCTGGGATGCTTGCGGGCCATCATCCTCTTCAACCCGGGTAAGGGACCCTCAGAGGGGCGCTATGGGGCAGCCCCATAGCGGGACATAGGGGGCAGCCCCATAGTGCCTCTATGGGGCAGCCCCATCACCCTCTTTAACCCGGGTAAAGGATGCTCCCCATAGGGATGCAGGGATAACGGCAGTGGTCCATGGGGGTACCAGTGTGGGATATGGGGCAGGGGGACGCTCAGAGGGGGTCTATGGGGCAGCCCCATAGCGGGACATAGGGGGCAGCCCCATCGTGGGTCTATGGGGCAGGGATATAGGGGTCACCGCAGAGTGTCTCTATGGGGCAGCTGCATAGTGAGACATGGGGGAGTCCCACTATAGTGTTTCTATGGGGCAGCCCCATAGCAGGGCATAGGGGGCAGCCCCATAGTGCCTCTATGGGGCAGCCCCATCATCCTCTTTAACCCGGGTAAAGGATGCTCCCCATAGGGATGCAGGGATAACGGCAGTGGTCCATGGGGGTACCAGTGTGGGATATGGGGCAGGGGGACGCTCAGAGGGGGTCTATGGGGCAGCCCCATAGCGGGACATAGGGGGCAGCCCCATCGTGGGTCTATGGGGCAGGGATATAGGGGTCACCGCAGAGTGTCTCTATGGGGCAGCTGCATAGTGAGACATGGGGGAGTCCCACTATAGTGTTTCTATGGGGCAGCCCCATAGCAGGGCATAGGGGGCAGCCCCATCGTGGGTCTATGGGTCAGCCCCATAGCGGGATATAGGGGGCAGCCCCATCGTGGGTCTATGGGGCAGCCCCATCGTCCTCTTCAACCCGGGTAAGGGACCCTCAGAGGGGCGCTATGGGGCAGCCCCATAGCGGGACATAGGGGGCAGCCCCATAGTGCCTCTATGGGGCAGCCCCATCATCCACTTCCATCCGGGTAAAGGATGCTCCCCATAGGGATGCAGGGATAACGGCAGTGGTCCATGGGGGTACCAGTGTGGGATATGGGGCAGGGGGATGCTCAGAGGGGGTCTATGGGGCAGCCCCATAGCGGGACATAGGGGGCAGCCCCATCGTGGGTCTATGGGGTAGCCCCATAGCGGGACATAGGGGTCTCCGCATAGTGTCTCTATGGGGCAGCCCCATAGCGGGATATAGGACTCACCCCATAGTGTCTTTATGGGGCAGCCCCATAGCTGGATATAGGGGGGGTCCCACCATAGCGTCCCTATGGTTCAGCCCCATAGCAGGATATAGGGGGCAGCCCCATAGCGGGCTATAGCTCTCCCCCCATAGCATCCCTATAGTTCAGCCCCATAGCAGGATCTAGATCTCCCCCCATAGCATCCCTATGGTTCATGCCCCATAGCAGGATATAGGGGGCAGCCCCATAGCAGGATATAGGGGGCAGCCCCATAGCAGGCTATAGCTCTCCCCCCATAGCATCCCTATGCTTCATCCCCATAGCAGGATATAGGGGGCAGCCCCATAGCGGGCTATAGCTCTCCCCCCCACAGCATCCCTATGGTTCAGCCCCATAGCGGGCTATAGCTCTCCCCCCCACAGCATCCCTATGGGGCAGCCCCATAGCGGGGCCATGGGGCGGGTTGGGGGGCGCCATTGCCGCTCTGCCCCATAGATGCCAAGGGCCTGTCCAACGCGGCCGAGGTGGAGCTGCTGCGGGAGAAGGTTTACGCGGGGCTGGAGGCGTACTGCAAGCAGCGGTACCCGGAGCAGCAGGGAAGGTGGGGACGGACCCGAAATGTGCGGAATTCGACCCAAAATTCGTCAAAATCGACCCAAAATTCGGCAAAATCGACCCAAAATTCGGCAAAATCGACCCAAAATTGGTCAAAATCGACCCAAAATTCGGCAAAATCGACCCAAAATTCGGCAAAATCGACCCGAAATTCGTCAAAATCGACCCAAAATTCGTCAAAATTGCACCTAAATTCGTCAAAATCGACCCAAAATTGGTCAAAATCGACCCAAAATGCGTCAAAATCGACCCAAAATTCGTCAAAATCGGCCCAAAATTCGTCAAAATCGACCCCCCAAAATGCGTCAAAATCGACCCAAAATGCATCAAAATCGACCCAAAATGCGTCAAATTCGACCCCCCAAAATTCGTCAAAATCGACCCAAAATTCATCAAAATCAACCCAAAATTCGTCAAAATCGCACCTAAATTCGTCAAAATCGACCCAAAATTCGTCAAAATCGACCCAAAATTGGTCAAAATCGACCCAAAATTGGTCAAAATCGACCCAAAATTCGGCAAAATCGACCCAAAATTGGTCAAAATCGACCCAATATTCGTCAAAATCGACCCAATATTCGTCAAAATCGACCCGAAATTCGTCAAAATCGACCCGAAATTCGTCAAAATCGACCCAAAATGCGTCAAAATCGACCCCAAATTAATCAAAATCGACCCCAAATTCGTCAAAATTGACCCCAAATTAATCAAAATCGACCCAATATTCGTCAAAATCGACCCGAAATTCGTGAAAATCGACCCAAAATTCGTCAAAATCGACCCAAAATTCGTCAAAATTGACCCAAAATACGTCAAAATCGACCCAAAATATGGCAAAATCGACCCAAAATGCGTCAAATTCGACCCCCCAAAATTCGTCAAAATCGACCCAAAATGCGTCAAATTCGACCCCCCAAAATTCGTCAAATTCGACCCCCCAAAATTCGTCAAAATCGACCCAAAATGCGTCTAAATCACCCCAAAATTCGTCTAAATCGACCCAAAATTCGTCAAAATCGACCCAAAATTCGTCAAAATCGACCCAAAATTCGTCGAAATCGACCCAAAATTCGTCAAAATCGACCCAGAATTCGTCAAAATCGACCCAAAATTCGTCAAAATCGCCCCAAAATTCGTCGAAATCACCAAAAAAAAACATAAAAATGACCCCAGAAAACATCAAATTCACCCAAAAAAACATCAAATTCACCCCCAAAAAACATAAAAATGACCCCAAAATGCATCAAAATGACCCAAAACACGCGGAATTCAACCCAAAATTCGTCAAAATCGCCCCCCAAAAACATAAAAATGACCCCAAAATGCATCAAAATGACCCCAAAATGCGTCAAAATGACCCAAAGTTCGTCAAAATCGACCCAAAATTCGTCAGTCACCCCAAAATTCGTCAAAATGACATCAAAATTCGTCAAAATCACCCCAAAATTCATCAAATTCAGCCCAAAATGCGTCAAAATTACCCAAAACGCGCGGAATTCACCCCAAAATCCGTCAAAATCACCCCAAAATTCGTCAAAATCGCCCCAAAATCCCCCTTTTTCACCCCAAAACCCTTTCCCCCCAAATCCCCCCAATTTCACCCCAAATCCCCCCAATTTCACCCCAAATCCCCCCAATTTGCTCCCAAAAAACGCTAATTTCACCCCAAAACCCTTTCCCCCCCAAAACCCCCAATTTCCCCCCAATTTCCCCCAGATTTAAACCCAAAATCCCCCTTTTTCACCCCAAAACCCTTTCCCCCCCTTTCCCCCCTCCTTTTTACCCAAAACCCCCCTTTTTCACCCCAAAACCCTTTCTCCCCCTTTCCCCCCCCAAACCCCCCCAATTTCACCCCAAAACCCCCAGATTTAAACCCAAAATCCCCCTTTTTCACCCCAAAACCCTTTCCCCCCCTTTTCCCCCCAATTTAACCCAAAATCCCCCTTTTTCACCCCAAAACCCTTTCCCCCCTTTCCCCCCCATTTCCCCCCCGAAAACCCCCCAATTTCACCCCAAATCCCCCCAGATTTAAACCCAAAAACCCCCTTTTTCACCCCAAAACCCTTTCCCCCCTCCTTTTTACCCAAAATCCCCCTTTTTCACCCCAAAACCTTTTCTCCCCCTTTACCCCCCCAAACCCCCTAATTTGACCCCCAAAACCCCCCAATTTCCCCCAGATTTAAACCCAAAATCCCCCTTTTTCACCCCAAAACCCTTTCCCCCCCTTTTCCCCCCTCCTTTTTACCCAAAATCCCCCTTTTTCACCCCAAAACCATTTCCCCCCCATTTCCCCCCCCAAACCCCCCAATTTCCCCCCAAATCCCCCCGATTTAACCCCAAAACCCCCCCTTTTTCACCCCAAACCCTTTCCCCCCCTTTTCCCCCCTCCTTTTTACCCAAAATCCCCCTTTTTCACCCCAAAACCCATTCCCCCCCATTTCCCCCCCAAAACCCCCCAATTTCCCCCCAATTTCCCCCAGATTTAACCCCAAAACCCCCCTTTTTCACCCCAAAACCCTTTCCCCCCTCCTTTTTACCCAAAATCCCCCTTTTTCACCCCATTTTCCCCCCTGTTTTAGGTTCGCCAAGCTCCTCCTCCGCCTCCCTGCCCTGCGCTCCATTGGCCTCAAGTGCCTGGAGCATCTCTTCTTCTTCAAGCTCATCGGGGACACCCCCATCGACACCTTCCTCATGGAGATGCTCGAAGCCCCACATGGAGATGCTCGAAGCCCCACATCAACTCTCCTAAAGTGGGGGGAGGGGACGCACTTATGGGTCCGCCCCATAAGTTAAAGCCCCGAAAACGCCCCCAAAATCGGCTTTTTCTACCCCAAAATAGGATGGGTTTTCCCCATGGGATGAAGGATGCGGGAGGGGATGCGAAGTGGTACCCAAGGGGGGAGTGATGGGGAGGGGGTGGGGATTGAGACGGGTTCTATGGGGCAGCCCCATAGAGGGATGTGGGGGTCTGCCCCATAAGTTAAAGCCCCGAAAACGCCCCCAAAATCGGCTTTTTCTGCCCCAAAATAGGATGGGTTTTCCCCATGGGATGAAGGATGCGGGAGGGGATGCGAAGTGGTACCCAAGGGGGAAGTGATGGGGGGGGGGGGGTTTGAGACGGGTTCTATGGGGCAGCCCCATAGAGGGATGTGGGGGTCTGCCCCATAAGTTAAAGCCCCGAAAACGCCCCCAAAATCGGCTTTTTCTGCCCCAAAATAGGATGGGTTTTCCCCATGGGATGAAGGATGCGGGAGGGGATGCGAAGTGGTACCCAAGGGGGGAGTGATGGGGAGGGGGGGGGATTGAGAGGGGTTCTATGGGGCAGCCCCATAGAGGGATGTGGGGGTCCGCCCCATAAGTTAAAGCCCCGAAACACCCCCAAAATCGGCTTTTTCTGCCCCAAAATAGGGGGGGTTTTCCCCATGGGATGAAGGATGCGGGAGGGGATGCGAAGTGGTACCCAAGGGGGGAAGTGATGGGGAGGGGGGGGGATTGAGAGGGGTTCTATGGGGCAGCCCCATAGAGGGATGTGGGGGTCTGCCCCATAAGTTAAAGCCCCGAAAACGCCCCCAAAATCGGCTTTTTCTACCCCAAAATAGGAGGGTTTCTACCCCAACATGGGATGAAGGATGCGGGATGCGAAGTGGTACCCAAAGGGGGAAAGGTGGGGGGGGAGGGGGGTTTGAGAGGGGTTCTATGGGGCAGCCCCATAGAGGGATGTGGGGGTCCGCCCCATAAGTTAAAGCCCCCAAAATCGGCCTTTTCCACCCCAAAATAGGAGGGTTTCCACCCCAACATGGATGAAGGATGCGGGATGCAAAGTGGTACCCAAGGGCAGAAGTGATGGGGGGGGCATTGATAGGGGTTCTATGGGGCAGCCCCATAGTGGGACGTGGGGGTCCCCCAATAGTGGTTCTATGGGGCAGCCCCATAGTGGGATGGGGGGGACAACCCCCTTATAGTGGTTCTATGGGGCACCCCTATATTGCTCTATGGGACACCCCTATAGTGGGACGTGGGGGTCCCCCAATAGTGGTTCTATGGGGCAGCCCCATAGTGGGATATGGGGGTCCCCTATAGTGGTTCTATGGGGCAGCCCCATAGTGGTATATGGGGGTCCCCCAATAGTGGTTCTATGGGGCAGCCCCATACTGGGACATGGGGGTCCCCCTATAGTGGTTCTATGGGGCAGCCCCATAGTGGGACATGGGGGTCCCCCTATAGTGGTTTTATGGGGCAGCCCCATAGTGGTATATGGGGGTCCCCCAATAGTGGTTCTATGGGGCAGCCCCATAGTGGGACGTGGGGGTCCCCCAATAGTGGTTCTATGGGGCAGCCCCATAGTGGGATATGGGGGTCCCCCTATAGTGGTTTTATGGGGCAGCCCCATAGTGGTATATGGGGGTCCCCAATAGTGGTTCTATGGGGCAGCCCCATAGTGGGACGTGGGGGTCCCCCAATAGTGGTTCTATGGGGCAGCCCCATAGTGGGATATGGGGGTCCCCCTATAGCGGTTCTATGGGGCAGCCCCATAGTGGGACATGGGGGTCCCCCTATAGCGGTTCTATGGGGCAGCCCCATAGTGGGACATGGGGGTCCCCCTATAGTGGTTCTATGGGGCAGCCCCATAGTGGGACATGGGGGTCCCCCTATAGCGGTTCTATGGGGCAGCCCCATAGTGGGACATGGGGGGTCCCCCAATAGTGGTTCTATGGGCAGCCCCATAGTGGGATATGGGGGTCCCCCAATAGTGGTTCTATGGGGCAGCCCCATAGTGGGACGTGGGGGGTGTCCAGCATAACCACAGTGTAGTGGGCTATGGGGCAGCCCATAGTGGGATATGGGGGTCCCCCAACAGTGTCTCTATGGGGCACCCCCATAGTGGGACCCCCCTATAGAACTATGGGCTATGGGGCAGCCCCATCGTGTGGGATGGGGGGGGCCCCCCACCATAACCACCCTATAGGGCTCTATGGGGCAGCCCCATAGTGAGGCTCCCCCCACTGAGGCACCCAATAGCACTTTGAATGGGGGGGAGGGCCCCATAGACCCCTATGGGGGGCCCTAAATACCCTATGGGGGGGTCCAATGGGACTTGGGGGGCGGAGGGGGGGGGTTGTTGTGGGTCCTACAGAAACACCGCCCCCCATCTCCCCCCATTGCTTTGGATTAAAGTTGCTGCTTCTCGGTCACCGGAGGGTGGTTGGTTATGGGGGGGTCACCCCATAGATCCCTGCCCCATAGATCCCCCTTTGCCCCATAGATCCCTGCCCCATAGATCCCCCTTTGCCCCAGATCCCTGCCCCATAGATCCCTGCCCCATAGATCCCCCTTTGCCCCAGATCCCTGCCCCATAGATCCCCCTTTGCCCCATAGATCCCTGCCCCATAGATCCCCCTTTGCCCCATAGATCCCTGCCCCATAGATCCCCCTTTGCCCCATAGATCCCTGCCCCATAGATCCCTGCCCCATAGATTCCCCCTTTGCCCCATAGATCCCTGCCCCCATAGATCCCTGCCCCATAGATTCCCCCTTTGCCCCATAGATCCCTGCCCCATAGATCCCTGCCCCATAGATCCCTGCCCCATAGATTCCCCCTTTGCCCCATAGATCCCTGCCCCATAGATCCCTGCCCCATAGATCCCTGCCCCATAGATTCCCCCTTTGCCCCATAGATCCCTGCCCCATAGATCCCTGCCCCATAGATCCCTGCCCCATAGATTCCCCCTTTGCCCCATAGATCCCTGCCCCATAGATCCCCCTTTGCCCCATAGATCCCTGCCCCATAGATCCCCCTTTGCCCCATAGATCCCTGCCCCATAGATCCCCCTTTGCCCCATAGATGCCCCGTAGATCTCCCACTGCCCTATAGATGCTCCATTGCCCCATAGATCCCCCTTTGCCCCATAGGTGCCCTATTGCCCTATAGATCCCCCTTTGCCCCATAGATCCCTGCCCCATAGATCCCCCTTTGCCCCATAGATCCCTGCCCCATAGATCCCTGCCCCTTAGATCCCCCTTTCCCCATGGATGCCCCGTAGATCTCCCACTGCCCTATAGATGCTCCATTGCCCCATATATCCTCCTTTGCCCCATAGGTGCCCTATTGCCCTATAGATCCCCCTTTGCCCCATAGATCCCTGCCCCATAGATCCCCCATTGTCCCATAGATGCCCCATTGCCCCATAGATCTCCCATTGCCCTATAGATGTCCCATTACCCCATAGATGCCCCATTGCCATATAGATCCCCATTGACACATAGATCCCCCATTGACCCATAGATGCCCCATTGCCCTATAGATCCCCCATTGCCCCATAGATCCCTCATTGCCCCATAGATGACCCATTGCCCAGAGATCCCCCGTTGCCCCATAGATCCCTCATTGCCCCATAGATGCCCAATCCCTGCCCCATAGATCCCCCATTGCCCCCAAAATCCCTGCCCCATAGATCCCCCATTGACCAGAAATTCCCTGCCCTATAGATCCCCCATTGCCCCATGGATCCCCCATTGCCCCATAGATCCCCACCTCATAGATCCCCACCCCATAGATCCCCTTGCCCCATAGATCCCCCATTGCCCCATAGATCCGTGCCCCATAGATCCCCCATTGCCCCATAGATCCCCTTGCCCCATAGATCCCCCATTGCCCCATAGATCCGTGCCCCATAGATCCCCTATTGCCCCAGAGATCCCTGCCCCATAGATCCCCCGTTGCCCCATAGACCCCTGCCCCAGAGATCCCCTGTTGCCCCATAGATCCCTCCATAGGACCCCCTACCTGCCCCATAGATCCCCACCCCATAGATCCCCCATTGCCCCATAGACCCCCACCCCATAGATCCCCCATTTCCCCATAGATCCACCATTGCCCCATAGACCCCCACCCCATAGACCCCCACCCCATAGATCCCCCATTGCCCCATAGACCCCCGCCCATAGATCCCCACCCCATAGATCCCCCATTGCCCAATAGATCCTGTATTGCCCCATAGATCCCCCATTGCCTATTGCCTCATAGATCCCTGCCCCATAGATCCCCTATTGCCCCAGAGATCCCCACCCCACAGATCCCCCATTGCCCCATAGATCCCTCCATAGGACCCCCTACCTGCCCCATAGACCCCTGCCCCATAGATCCCCCATTGCCCCATAGACCCCCACCCCATAGATCCCCACCCCATAGATCACCCATTGTCCCATAGATCCTGTATTGCCCCATAGATCCCCCATTGCCTATTGCCTCATAGATCCCTGCCCCATAGATCCCCCATTGCCCCATAGACCCCTGCCCCAGAGATCCCCCATTGCCCCATAGATCCCTGCCCCAGAGATCCCCCATTGCCCCATAGATCCCTCCATAGGACCCCCTACCTGCCCCATAGATCCCCACCCCATAGATCCCCCATTGCCCCATAGATCCCCCATTGCCCCATAGATCCGTGCCCCATAGATCCGTGCCCCATAGATTCCCCCATTGCCCCATAGATCCCCACCCCACAGATCCCCCATTGCCCCATGAAACGGCGGAGGGGGGCGGGGCGAAGGCGTGGCCAAGGGGGCGGGGCGTGGGCGTGGCTAAAGCGAAGGGGGCGTGGCCGGGGCTACTCCGGCGCGCTCGGAGCGAGCGGCCGCAGACGGGACCCGAAGGGGACCGGGACCGAACGGACCCGAAGGGACCCGAACGGTTCCGAACGGTTCCGAACGGACCCGAACGGTTCCGAAGGGGACCCGGACCCGAACGGTTCCGAACGGACCCGAACGGGACCTGAAGGGGACCCGAAGGGGAC